AACTTGGGGAAACCTACAATTCTCATAGTCTATGCCCAACCGTGTTAGCTGGGGTGATCAGAATCAGAAAAAGGCTGGAGGGAAAAAAAATCAGGTGTTTTGTGTTACACAACACACCTGTGTGGGAATCTGAGCAGCAAGGGGGGAAGGGGGCATGGGGGGGGGCTGTGCAATAAATAAGTTTGGGGTGTTTAATTTGGAGACTAGATTTGTTGCTATTTCCTCAGTGCTGGTCAACAACAGTTTAAGAGACACAAGCAATTTTCAAATAAACATCAGAATAAATAACTTGAAACATATCTTTATTTCTTTTCAGCAGTTACTAGAAATTTCCAAGTGTTTATAAATAACAAACCATCTAGTGCACTGCTTGCTTGCAAGTAACAACCAGATATTGATTTTTGGGAGGGGATCCAGATTTGGGAGGGGATCCAGATTCCTACTAGGGTGCAAATTTTTATGTTCTCAGAAATTCTACATCAAAGCATTAAAGAGTGAGAATAAAGCAGTAGGGCAAAGGTCTTCAAACTTGGCAAGTTTAAGACTTGTGGACTTCAACTCCCAGAATTCCTGAGCTAAAATGACTGGAGGAGGAATTCTGGGAGTTGGCAGTCCACAAGTCTTAAAGCTGTCAAGTTTGAAGACCCCTGCGGTAAGGAATAGGAATATTTCTTTATTGGCTGTGTGATTGGACACAAGGAATTTATTTCCAGTGCATAAACTCCAGAGCCACACCTTCTGAGAAAGAATTCTTGAGAATCTGGAAACTTGCACATTGTGTCCCTGTATTAACCTATTAAAAATTGTTCAGCTAATATGGACTTAAGGTCATTAATTGTCTACTGCATACTAATAATTCATTTCCCCCCTTTTCTCTCAGTATTGCAGTAACATTATCTTGTGTCAACCTTTACAGTTACTTCAAACTTGAATTTTACAGTTGTTTTTATACACTTTTATTAGTTGAATGCTGAGTTCCACATTTATTATAAATGGCCAGTTTCATTTTGAACAGACAGAAAAAAGCAGGAAAGAAAAAAAAAACAGATTCAGAGTGGTGACGAGTAAATGTTTCAGCAGATGAACATAGCAAGAACTCTTCCAGACTGGTTTTGCCCTCTAAGTAAAGAGGTTAATTGGAGTCTATCTCTTGGGGTCTCTGTAGACTTCCATGCCAATTAGTGCTAATGGTGAGGGAGCTCATGGTGAGACAACATTAACCAGGGTTAGTTGTTCATGTTACTATTATTATATGACTACCCTACAATCAAATTCACAAAAACGTAATTCAAAATCCTAACCAAGCATCTAAGAATCTAAGGTATTATATATACCCACAATGTGAAAATACAGCTGCCTCTTCATTTATAATTTATTATTCATAATACTATTAATTAAAGTAGTATTTCTTAACTTATTTTCATATAACAAATATTTGGGGGATCAATGAACGATCTGAAACTTCATGAAGAGAGCTGAAGAGTTTGGGGAACTCAATCTATAGCAAGCTTCCCATCCCATTTCATGTTCCATGACGAGGACAAAAGCAAAAAGCACTCAGGTTAGATCATTCTTGTCATCAACTCCTGAAAAAAGGACCACAATGTCTTAAGAAAATGGTTGAGTTCAAACATTATGCAAAGCCACTTTTTTGCTGGAATAAATTTGAATTATCTTCAATAGAATTAGTAAAGAACACCTGGGGTTTCACATAGTGCAAATCCAGATACATATAAACCATATCCTAGCTGAACCTATTGAACTCAATGTTCCTGTTTTAAAATTGCTTTGTGGTTGGATTCATTTAACGATACTAACTTGAAACTATAAAGCCTGATTTTGTGAGAGGAGTGATTAGAAGCCTTAAAAAATCCTTTACAGCTGATCTAGATTTTCCACTTCAATCTTCTATTTAGGAATGAAGGATGCATTTGTCTTAGTGATATTACTTCTCTCACTCAATAAATGAAGATGATGGCAGTAGCATCAATAGAAGCCTCTATCAGGCCTCCATATCCATCACTATCTCCCCTCAAGGAAGCAATTCTATGTCAATCTGCCACAATCATCTTATTTCCTGAGGTCCATTTCTTGGAATCATGTAGTCTTTCCGTTCCTCCTCATCACAAGCATTCTAGTGAAGCTAGGGAAAGGATCAGCTGGACTAGAATTTGAAGATGGGTTTTGACTCTACAGAATTGCACAGATGATCGGTTTGGAGGCCCAGGGCAATGGTGAAATGCAGCTAAAAATAACTCCTGCTCTCCATTGAAGCATGCAAGAGGAACGGCGGCAACAAAGAATGAATTGCTCCACCAAGGACACGGAGGCAGAGAAGGTGGAGATCCAAATAAGATTCTCTAGGTTACCTGGGCCAATGGGAATTAATGAAAGCAGTAATTCAATTTATAATTAGATCTAGTCACCAAAACAGGTTAATGTCTCTCTTCCCAAAGCCCCAATTTTGTGAGTTGACATCGATTGAAAAACCCATTTTTGCAAATCATTAAAAACAAACATATGAAACAATATCTATTTATGCCCTCAGCTCAACAGACTTCATTCCGCAAACTGCCATTTTAAATCTTGGCAAAGCAGTAGCAAGCAGTTTTGCAAAGTCATTTGATTCAGGCTTTTTTGTAAACATCATTTTCAGGCCCAATGAAATGATTTTGAGTATTGCAAAGTGCAAAGGGACTTCCTGAAGGAAGCAGTGATGACGACAATGCCTTCGGGAACTATTAGCATCATATACTTCGTGGGGAGGCAAACAGATGTTTTTTCCCCTGTGTTTGGCAGTGTTGGAGAAGGTTGGATAGATCTTATATGGGAAAAGGCAGCTTAGGCCAGGGCAATTAAAGGAAACAGAATGGCAGTGCATAAATTGGAGCAAATAAAAATAAATAGAAAGCTCAGGAGTCTAGAATGAGAGTAGGTCAAGAAATAAAGCAAAACTGGATGGAAGGTACAAAGCAAAAGGACTGATTTGCAAAAATTATCTACAGAAAAAAGGTGAATATTTAGAGTCAAAAAAACAGAATAGATAAAGAAGCCTGATCTGAGACTCATCTGATGCTGCAGGTTCTAGCTATCCATTTAGAAAGTTCTCTTTTTTATTTTTATTGACCCATTTATTTAAATTTATTGGTTAGTGGGCTCTGAATTGTAAGTACAATAAACAAAAGGAGGACGCTAGATTTATATCCTCATTTGTGTACAAGGCAGTGTAGATAATGGTCCCTTGCTGATTTCCCCCTACAAAACAGCACCCTGTGATATAGGTTGGGCTGAGGAGAGGGGTAGCCCCCAAACACCACCACGTTTCCATGCCAGAAGGAAAAGTGGAACTCACATGCTCCCTGTTTCTAGTCCAAATCCTACATCAGTACTATCTATGGCAGGGGTGCCAAAACTCACGTCATCACGGTATTGTCACGTGTTGTTGCATGACTTTTTTCCCCCTTTGCTAAACCAGGCATGGGCGTAACCAGTGCATCCGGCCCCCTGGACCACGAGTTTGACACCCCTGATCTATGGATTCCATACTTAAAAATACTTTAAAAAAATAAATAAAAGAATTGCATTTTGCTCCTGTGTTCACCAGGATTGCTTCATTCAAGCTTTACCGTGATTTCGCAAGGGTGTCAAAATGGCGGCCCGTGGGCCAATGCGTCATCCACAGGCCACGTCCACCCCAACTCCGCAAAGGGAAAAACATAGCAAAACATCATGAGAGCAACATGACACCGCCAATTTGATAACCGGTGCTTTAATGGAATATCAATGACCTGGGGGAAGAGGGAAAGAGACAAGAGCTCCCAATGGCTTATTGGGCAGGGAAAGAAACTTAGGATCTGCCCTAATTCATCAGGCAGTTAAGTGGTGGCTGGAAATTCGCACCTTGAGACATCATTGCTTGCCAAGAATTAAACACAGGATGTAGTAGAGATAGAGGTCCTGTAGGGGGCGTGAGCAGCACACTGCCGTGCCTCAATACCTACATGGGCCTCAAATACCTACATGATCTCACTCAGCAGAATTGTCCCTAGCTGGTACATGATCTCACCTGGCTAACATCACCACTTCCTTACTTGTATATTCTTAAGGATTGGTGAGGGGATTCACCAATCCAAATGCTGTTTCTATATAACCTTTTCCTGCTTGTAAAAACTGTATAAAAGCAATAAACGCTGCTCAGGCAGTCAGACGTCTTGGCACCCTGCAAAATGACTGGTTGTTGAACTCCATCAACAGGAGACCACTTTCTGTTGCTCAGTACATCTTTGTTGCATGTAGTTTCACCCCTATTAAAATGCTACGAGTGGTTGTACACTTATCCTTGAGAACATCTGCTTATGCTACAAATAATACCCAGGGCACCCTTGAAAAATCTCACTTTTTATTCAGAAAACATATCCCTAACATTGTGAAGGCATAGAAGAGTGAGGATAGTCTATCTTGTTTTATGGCCATTCAGCAAGATATGTAAAAGATAACTGACCTGGCTGGTGAACACAAACATTCTGTGCTAGCAACTCTAGGAATGCCCCATTATGTTATAATCCTACACAAGAATTATTGCCTCCTGCTGGACAGTTCTAACATATCATCCATCTATTTATTTTTCTCTCTGTAAAACTGCAACAGAGGACTTAACGACAAGTTCCAGGAAAAGATGAATGTAAGTCATCCAGCAAGGCACATGTTTTCAAAATATTCAGCAACTGCAAGAATCTGTTATTTATTGAAGTGAAAACCACAGAACGAATCATTCACATTTTCTCACGTCCTCCAATATGGTGGGTAACTTTCAGAATGTACGTTTAGATGTCTAATATGAGACCTCACACATCTGGAAGATATAAGAGTTGGGAAGACTGGACTAAGACTGGTATCAAGAGGAGTTTCAGTCCGCTTTGAAAATGCTGAACCTAGCCGATACATGTGCTCTGTTCATTTTTATTTTCATTCCTATAAAAATGTAATCTCGTTTTTTTAAAAAAAAAATACAGAAATTGTAAAAAGAACCTTGGTCACTTATCACTGTAAATATTTACAGCATCAGTAGTTTCATACTCAGATTCTAAAAAAAACCTAAAATTATACACACAGTCACATTATTTAAGTATCAAATATGTTTAAAGAACTCCTTTAAAATCAGAATAAAAAAGGTTTTATATATATATATATAAATGCATCTTCTTTGGAATCCTCTTCAAAATTACAGGCGGTGGAGGGAATAAAAGGCAAGCTAGGTGTCCATGTGGTGTTCAATGAAATGAACAATTTCTTTCTGTCTGAACAGTATCCAGCGATCACATCTGAAATGATCCTCTTTCCAGAATAGCACATTCAGAAATAGATAGTTCTGAAATTCAAAAGGGGTACCCAAAATGTATTTTACAATGTCTATAATACTAAGAATCTTAAGGAATCTTGAAGGATCCTAGCCTGCCTCTGAAGAAGATGAGCTAAGACATTGAGAGGTGACCCATCAGCCTGTTCTTTTGATGGCTGCTTAGATCCAACATAAATGCTGTCCCATTTCTCTTTTATTCTCCTGAATAAAACCGATGCTGATACATGGAGAGTGTTCCTATAGCCATTCGTATTCCAGAAAAGAGTGGAAAGAATTAAACCACCAAGCTTTCTCTGCTGACAGCATGATTCTGTAGAGGAAAGAGAAAAATCAAGGTTAATCATACCATAAAATATCTTTCAGTATCTTCAGAATCGTTTTAAGATTAGCAACACAAGATTGAAAATAAATATCATGCTGGCTACACACACACAAAGCACACATTTTGCAGACAGGCTCCCAGGTGCAAACATTGGTTTCTTGGATCAGGAGCTCACTAAGACATAAAAAAAGATATAGATAAATCCAATATTGGGAAGGGGGGGGACCCTTTGTTACAACAGTGATTGCTAATTCAATCTTAAGGGATAGGGTTAATCCTAGGAACTCTGCTTGATTTATCTCATGCGGAAAATACTTTCAATTTGGTCTGTGGGGTTTGTCTGGTCCTGACTTATTCAACAAGGCATGACTGGGCTTGTTTACACTGCATTAAGTGGTGTAAATACAACCAAATACATGACAACAAAAGATAATGCAAAAACCATTCAAACACATTTAACAATAATGTGAATATTTTGCTCAAAGGAACAACTATTAGCCTAATAACTATGAAGCCTTAGTAAGACCACACCAAGAGTACTGCATCCAATTTTGGTCACCACACGATAAAAAAGATGTTGAGACTCTAGAAAAAGTGCAGAGAAGAGCAACCAGGATGATTAGGGGACTTGGAGACTAAAACATCCAATGAACAGTTGCAGGAACTAGGCATGGCTAGTCTAGGGAAGAGAAGGACCAGGGGAGACATGATAGCAGTGCTCCAATATTTGAGGGGCTGCCACAGAGAGGAAGGGATCAAGCTATATTCCAAAGCACCTGAAGGCCAGACAAGGAATAATGGATGGAAATTGAACAAGAAGAGGTTCAACCTGGAAATAAGGAGAAACTCACTGGAAGCTTTCCAGAAGAGACTGGACTGCCATCTGTCAGATATGGTGTAGGGTCTCCTGCTTGGGCAGGGGGTTGGACTAGAACTAGATGACCTACAAAGTCCCTTCCAACTTTGTTAATCTGTATCTGTATCTAATTTCGCCTTATCCAGGACATCTCTATTTATAAAGCATTACAATTGTGCGTCCTTCCCCCCATTTTTCAACCTCACCCTTCGCAACTTGCGGTCATCCTTGCTGCGGGAAGACACAGATTCGGTCTCTGTGTATGGAGGTGGTGGTGGAGGAGGAAAGCCATTGCTATCTTCATCCTGGTGTTTCCTGTGGCCGGATCTCCCATTGGAGGTGCTTCCACGATCCAGGTCTTCACGGCTACCTGCCCGTTGCTTCTTCCGCAGTGCTTCCTCCAGGAGCCGGTTATCATAATGGATTCGCTCCAGATCCCGCAAGTCATCCCTACTTCGACTTCGGCGTCTACCGTGGCGCTCAGAGTCGTAACGGGAGTCAGGGGAATAATCGCGGTGATGGCATTCGTTGTCCGAGCTGTGCTGGCCCCGACCTCTGTGCTGGGAAGGGTAGGAATCCCGTTCATAGTCATCTAGAGCATCCACCGAGCGGGAACGTGGGCGTCGGCCATAGCTCCGTGGTGGGGAGTCCTCATAACGGTCACGCCAAGTGGCGGGGGGCAGCAAGCGCCGGTTCTCACTGCTCCGTACGCTCTCCTCCTCCAGGTCACTGATGGGAGACATGGCCTGGCCACGCAGCCTCCCCATGCCTTGCCGCAGCTCGTAACGACGGTCATCTTCATGAAGAGAGCTGAGCTCACTCATCACGGAGGCTGGAAAAACAAAACGGAGAATGAATTATGCATTCTCCTCCCGACACTAAAGGGCACGCTACTGTGACAACTCAGCGAAGGATCGATTGGGCACACTCTTGTTCCTACACGGAAGGACTCCCCAGCAAAGTACCTTTCTCAAGCCTCCCATTGGGCTGCCCGGGGCGAGTAGGGTCAAAGTTGGCCAGCTCCTTCTCCATATAGTAGAGCACCCGCATGGAATCATCCTGCTGGTTGGCTTGGATGCGATAGCCGCTGCGTACAGCTGGGGAAGAGAGATCAGGAGCAGGCTTTAGGACATAAGGCGGTCATTTTTAATTTTAATTTTTAAGGAGCCATATGCCTTGTGGAGACGGTTGGCAATCGTGTGGTTCACCCACTACTGCTGCCTTTGAACTTGAAACTGAAAGAGGACTTTCTCTGCCAATTGTAATCCCCCTTTTTGTGCTTTGCCCCAAAGTGCTGCTGGTTGCAGCAGGTGCAACAGGTGGCGTGAAGTACACGGGGAAGGGGGTGGTGGTTGGGTCAGGAGATTTAGTTACCCTTTGCTTCAATAGCAAATTTAGAGTTCAACGAGAAAGCTCAAGGTTGTAAGACTACAGACGAAGAGTGCACGCATGTTCCTGTTAAAAGGAAAGATCTTCCTGCTGGACTGAGAATTTACCTCGAAGACCCAACGTTTGAAAAGTTTAATCTTTTCAACGTAAGGGCCGGTCTAGCAAAATCTTGCCGGCACAGAGATTGTATGAATCTCCCCCACACACACCAAAAAAAAAGTCTTCAGGTTGTATCTCTTCAAAAGATAGTTCTTCTGACAAGTGTTTGGGAGGGTTTTGTTTAAAATGAGTTTGGTTTAATTTTATGAAGCTTAGATGTATTGGACTTCCACCTCGGTCATACTGGGTGGAAATTTGGCAAGTAGAAATCCTAACATAGCTGCCTGGCACCCGTTAGAGCAAGGATCTCCAAACTTGGCAACTTTCAAAACTTGTGGACTTCAATTCCCAGAATTCTGGCTGGAGAATTCTGGGAGTTAAAGTCCAGAAGTCTTAAAGTTGCCAAGTTTGGAAACCTCTGAGTTAGAGAAAAGTGGGGAGTTTGTTTAATTCCTATGCAGGAAAGGTAGATGTAAAATTTCAGCTGCAAAGCTAGTGGCACTCCATACCCAAGCACTACAACCGTGTTTTTTATTCTATGTGGTAGAAAGAAGAATTAGCATCACCCTCAGCTGCAAACAGCCGGATCAGCCAAGTGAAGCAATGTGATAATTATAATTCCTCAGAGGAACAAAATGTTGAATCATCAGTGTAGGCAGTTTCCCCACCACCAAGCATGCCTGATCAGACAGAAGCACAATGTCTAAGCAAACTCAGTACTCCATTCCATGTTTCTTACCAGCATTTGCCACACTTTCTGTATCCCTCAGGAGAGGCACTTGGGAGCTGTTTCCACCAACTGTAATGCAATCAAACGACAGCAAAAAGTTTTCATAAAAGGGATAGCAATAGCAATTAGACTTATATACAGCTTCGCAGTGCTTTTACAACCCTCTCTAAGCAGTTTACAGAGTCAGCCTATCGCCCCCAACAATCTGGGTCCTCATTTTACCCACCTCGGAAGGCTAGAAAGCTGAGTCAACCTTGAGCCTGGTGAGATTTGAACTGGCAAATTGCAGGCAGCCGGCAGTCAGCAGAAGTAGCCTGCAGTACTGCACTCTAACCACTGCGCCACTGTGTCACACACGTGACACATACAATCAGTAGTAGGCAGGACAAACTGCCCCGTGGCTGTACTTCTGAATCCTAGCAGCAGCCTGCGATACAACATTGTAAGCTATGTTTTCACTAAGCAGATTACAGTACAAGCCCTAACAAGCCATAAAATAGCTGGTCTAACATTCTGCCTAATGCAAGAGAACCGGAACACAACCAAAATCTGCTGATTGAAGATTTCCAAGGAGAGAGAGAGAGAGAATTCTTCCCTCCCCCCCAGATTTTCTCCACTGATTCCAATTATCAAAGAGATCTAAAAATTAGGGACACCCAGAAAAGGCATCCAAAATGCAACCTAGGAGATAACTCAAAAGGGTAAACCTCCGAATAGCACAAGATCTTTCAGGCTGTTAATTCTCCTTACCTGGGAACTAGCTGTGGGGCTCGATAAATTCATTCGAGACAAGCCACTTACCTGAGCTGGCTCTATCATAATCCATTCCGTAACCATTGTACATTGGAGACATTGGGCCCATAGGGATCATGTTGGCTGGGGGAGGTGGTTTCATTGGATTGCTGGAGGCATACATGCTGGGTGCATAAACACTGGGGACTCCAGATGTTGCAGCTTTCCCTGCTACATACACTGGAAAGACAAAGATTTCCCAAATAAATGCCTGGTGTTTGCTTTTTAAGACACGTTGCCCGAGGCAAAGCAGTACGGCTCTGCAGAATATTTGGCAGGGATGACAACCCACAGTTACAGCCATTAACCTTGAGAAGGTGATCCCTGGATCAAATTCGATTTCTTTGCGGTCTTCTAGGATGAATAAGAGTGCTTCTTTTTCAATTTAATGATCTTGGGTTGGGAGGAGGAGAGGGGCATAAGGGATACAAGTAAAGGTTCACAGAATATTGCTCATCTGTAGGCCTCGACTTACGACTCCTCGTGCAACAACGGTTCGAAGTTGTGACAGCATTGAAAAAACGATGCCTTGCCAACCATCTTCAGAGTTACAACCATCGCTCCACCACCAGCTCACACTTATAATAATTGCCACAATCTGCAATCTATATATGGCCCTAAAATAGGTTCTGGTCATATGACGACTTGCTTAACTGCCACATATCACTTAGCGACCAGAATTCCAGAGTCCTAATTGCGGTCATAAAACAAGGACTCCCTTGACTTAAAACATTCTTAGGGAGCCCTTTTAAGTTTGACTGTAAATTAAGACATCACAAACAAAACCGTGTAACTTTAGACACACCTTGAACACACCCCGTTTAGGAATCCAGATAGCCAGTCTGAACTTCTGTTTATTGCTGTAGTTCTGAGCAGGATGGCCTCAGTATACCCACCCCTCTCCAGCTATGCCTGGCTAAGCATTTCCCCCTTACCCGTGGCCCCTCTCAATGTGCTAGACTAACTTCCAAATCTCCAGCAGCCAGCAAGGACTCCCAACCCAACACAGCTGGAAGTCATGTGGAACGTGGTGAATATTTTTGCTTGAATCAATACGAATAGCATATTTATTTCAATCAATCAATCAGAATAGAGCTGGAAGGGACCTTGGAGGTCTTCTAGTCCAACCCCTTGCTCAACCAGGAGATCCTATAGGTATACCATCTCAGGCAAGTGACTGTCACTGGACTGTCACTTCTTCTTTAAAACCTCCAGTGATGGAGCTCCTACAACTTCTGGTGGCAAGCTGTTCCCCTAGTTAATTGTCTTCCCTGTTAGGAAGCTACACTCCTTAATTCCAGGTTGCTTCTCTCCTTGATTAGTTTCCAACCATTGTTTCTTGCCCTGCCTTCTGGTGCTTTGGAAAATAAGTTGACCCCCCTCTTCTTTGTGGCAGCCCCTCAAATACTGGAAGACTGCTATCCTGTCCCCCCTAGTCCTCCTTATCTCTAGACTGGCCTTCTCTAGTTCCTGCAACTGTTCTTCCTATGTTTTAATTTCTTCATATTTCTTCTACTTACAAGAAGAAGAACCTGTTCTTCGAGACCCGAACATTTTGCTTGAATCAATACGAATAACAGACTTATTTCTTCACGTTTCTTCTACTTACAAGAAGAAGAAGAACCTGTTCCTTGAGACCCGAAACAACTACAGACGTTTTGAGAAGATCTGTTTAAACCACTTTCAGGGAAAGTTGAAACCGGATCTGTAAAAGGGAACTTACGTGCTTCGGGGCAGCAACACTTCTCTGGACAACAAGGACATCGCAGGTAGCAGCAACAGGTATGGGGGCAGCACTGGCACCAACAGATTCCAAGGAGCAGGAAGACCAGAAAGAAGGCCAGCACAACCAAGACCACAAAGACCCAATCTAGGAAGAAACCATGGGAAGCAGCCCTTAGAGATACAACCAATGAATCCCATTGTATCCAGAGAGTCAGCTGTTGCATGTTTGTTAACTTCTACCAAGAGTCTATAAAGCTGGGAGGAAACAATCCCAGCTGTTGTGGCCCACCAGCAGAGCTGACGGCAGACTCGGTCAGTGAGGAGGTTGGGGAGGAACATGGGCCAGTCCTGGAGTCTGGGGAAGGCTGTTGACAAGTGCTCTAGGTGTCAGAGGCAGAGATGGGGCCAGAGCTGTCTGACAGTTATCAGCTGCCCTTGGAGTCAGAGATCAGTGAGGCAGAAGAACAGCTGGAGCCTGTTCCCAGTGTGCGCATGCACAGAGCTGCCAGGAGAAAGGAACAGCTAAGGAACAAGGGTCAACTCGGGAGTAAAGGCTCAGGTGGACAGTGAATGGCCCCTCCCAGAGGGAATAAAGAGGAGCGAAAAGGAGAGTGGTGTTTGCAGGAGACAATTAGTTCAATTCATTAGGGTGAAGATCTGTTCCTGACTTCTTGCCAAGTAACTGCTGCTACGGAGCAGCGTTTGGAAGATATCGGCCTGGTAACTCTCCAAGCCTGATAAAGGTCTATAGCTGTGAAACTTCATGAAAGACTGTTTGCTGGGGCTTTCCTGGAGAGGAATTCCTTTTAACCTAAATAAAAGGGGTTTTATTGGGACAAGGAATCTGCGTCATGATCTTGGGAAGCCTAGGTCAGAACACTAACAGTACTCTGGTATCGAAAGGAGATTCGGTTTTAATTATTTGCACTGTGTGCCCTGTGTCCGGAAGGCAGCAGTGGAGGGCTCCCAAAAACATAGATAAGGGTTCAAAAAAAAAATCCCCTCATTTGAGTCTGGCCAGTGGAGCAAAACTCCAAATAAGGGAATCCCCATAGGCTTTAAGATAGAGTCCTCGTTTAGCAAAGGATTCTGGAATAGATTGATCTATTCAGTTGGCCACACCATTTCAGGTGCAATTTCTCTATTCCTCTTTATACAGGTAGTCCTCGACTTACGACCACATTTGGGTCCAAAATTTCTGTTGCTAAGACATTTGTTAAGTAAATCCCGTCCAAAACCCCCCCCCCCATTTTACGACCTTTGTTTCTGTTGTTAAGTGAATCCCTGCAGCAGATCAGTGAGTAACCCGGTTGTTAAGTGAATCCGGCTTCCCCACTTGACTTGGCTTATCAGAAGGTCGCTGAAGGGAATCACATGAATCCAGTGTGAAAAATGGTCACACAAGTCCCCCTTTTTTCAGCGCTGTTGTAACTTCGAAAATGGTCCCTAAGCAAACTGTTGTAAGTTGAGGATTACCTGTACTGATTTTGTCTCACTTGGACATATCCCCTGTGATGGATAACACTGATTCTGAGCATTTCCCCTCTCCCCCCCATTATTTGTAGATTATTGGACTTCATTATAGTGATCATTTATACTTGTGGAAAATTCCACCTTCCAAATACCTCCGGGGGGATCTGAAAGAACATTTCTTCAAGCAGGGCCTATCAAATTCAACAAGGCAGAATCCTGGCCTCAACTTACACTAAGCAGAAAGATCATTCAAAGGGGGCCACAGAACCGTGATGGTGAACCTGCGGCACGCAGAACCATTTGTGCGGGCATGCGAGCCCCAGCCAAACTTACCTGCACTGCACATGCGCGCGCCTCCTAGCTGATTTTGAGGCCGTTTTCGCCCTCCTAGAGGCTCGAGGGAAGCCTCTGCAGCCTCGGGAGGCCAAAAAACAGGCCTCCCGGAAATACCGGAAGTGCTGAAACGGGCCCATTTTCAGCCTCCCGAGGCTGCAGAGGCTTCCCTCGAGTCTCCAGGTGGGCGAAAACGGCCTCCCTTGGGCTCCAGAGGCTCTCTGTAGGCTGAAAATGGGCACTTCCGGTATTTCCAGAAGGCCCGTTTTTCAGCCTCCTGGGGCTGCAGAAGCTTCCCTCGAGCCTCGGGGGATGGGGAGGGAAATGGCCTCAAACGGGTCGAAAATCAGCTAGGAGGCGCACACATGCACAGTGCACGTAAGGGGGGATGTTGCACACGCATGTTCAGGAAGGGCGGGGTGCATTGCATTGTGGGTGCCGGCGCACGCTCACTTTCGGCACACCCCAACGAAAAGGTTCACCATCACTGCCATAGAACGTGCTAGCTTGCAATGTTCAACCTCACAGAAAGTGAGAGGTATGAAGCAGACTGTGGATTGCATTTGTAACTTGGCCAAAACCTTCACAATATAATATCCCTTTGCTCTAAAGCCCACATTTTTGCCATGGTGCCAAAGGGGCAGATTTTTACAAAGTACGAAGAGAACAGAAAAGTTGCAACAAGGTCATACAGTAAAATAGACAGACAGACAGACAGACAGACAAGGCAAGCATTTCAGAGTCCTTTGCATTCCAAGCGCTTCTACTTCTAAACTTTGAGAAATTCAAGGAGAGGGAAAAATTTAAAAAAATAATAGAGAGTGAAGTCAACCCTTTCCCAACCCCTTAGGAAACAAGCATGGAAGAAAAAGGCAGTACCTTCCATATGCCCTATCTGAAAGCCTGGCAAAAGCTCTGAGACACCGGAGGACTTGCCTACAGAACAAAACAAAAAAACAGGAAAAAGTTACGAAGATATCTGGCTGACCCAGAAGTAAGACTTTCTGAGCCAGAGGTATACTGGAGGGATGGGCTTCATGGAAGAAGACATCAATTAAATTCCATCCCATACAGGAAAAGCTGCCGGGAGCTTTTATAAAGAGTTGGACAGGACTAGTTAGTAAGGCGTTGACAGTAGGAGGAGTTAGCAAGGATGCTTGACCCATTGCTTGACCGCATGTCCCTGCGGTCACATGATTGCGATTCAGGTGCTTAGGGGCCAGCTCGCCACTGTGACATCACAGCATCCTGCAGTCTCATGATCTCTGTTTGCAACTTTCACTGCTGGCTTCTGACGATCAAAAGTCGATGGGGAAGTTCACAGAAGTTCATAAATGTACCCAACAGGACCATCAGATGCTGCAATCTCGTTGGGAGTCACCTAAGGAGGGCAACTGGAACCGCCACTCGTAAGTTTGTGCAATCGTGTGACATCGCACTGTAGGACTCTGTTGCTTAGCAACGGAGTCCTCAGTCCCAATTACCATTGTTAACCAAGGACCACCTATATCCTTTACAAGCAACTGCTCTTACATGGCATGGATGCCATTAACATGGAGCTTAGTAGATTGATTTGATGCTTCACTGGAATCCTCTTTTAACGACCCCATAATCCCTTGCAGGGTGAAGTCTGGGCAACTGGATGGAGTGTTTACTGGCCGGATGCCCTTCCTGTTGCCAATGCGGAGGCTTTTTTTTTTTTTCAGCAGATATATTCTCAACGTGCCCAGAGAGAATATATGCCTCTCCTTAGGATAGAACTCACAGCCGCCTGATTGTGAGGTGAGAGCATTACCTCTAGGCCAGCGCACCACTCTGATGCTTCACTGGAATCCTGCGTGAAAATTAGTTGTAAAAGAGAGGCTGGAAAAATCCCAAGGCCAAACAGCTGAACTTGCACATCTGACACACGGTCAGTCCAGGAATTAGTCAGCGAGCTACGATTTGCACCCACATCCTTTCACGCATGGGTTCTCCTCTATTTCCCCACAAGTTTCCTTAGACGAAAAACTGTGTCACTGCTGTTCCACACCAAGAGTGTAGAGTTCACGCCAAGCTAATACAAAACACTTGCAATATTCTCAGTAATCTATCAACCTTCTGGCCACCTCTGCTGCACAATGCAGCCCCTCTCTCAATTATTTAACCAGTCAATTTGGCTGCTCCATAGTGATTACACCCAAGGTAAGTTTTCTGTTCTTTTTTTTAATATTGGTTTCAAACCTTTCAAGCAAACTGGCCCCAGAGAAGAGCACGGAGAAAACATAACTCTTCCTGCCCCGATGGGTTATCTCCACCCAAGCAAGGCATAATGCTTTCAGCAGGGAATTGATGAGCATTTAAGCTGGCTTTCATCTTCTAGATATGAGGAAAGCGTAAAAGGTGGCAAGCCAGGTGCTTATGTAGAACATTGCCAAGTGCCTCTAACTCAGGAAAACAAAAGTGCACGCACACACACACACACACACACACACACACACACACACGTGCGCACACACACACACACACACACACCCTTACTGAGCAGTATGTTTGAAAGATTTCCCTTCCCAGATAAGGCCATACATTTTTTTAAAAAAAAACAATTCATCCTGGCACTACCAGATGGACCATCCATCACAGCTCTCAGCAGGGAGCATGGCAGAAATAGAAACAGGAAATGACAGTCAATCTTCAGAGACTCTGGAATCAGAAGGAAAACAGGCCCTCTCACTGTTGTTAGCACAAAAGCCAACCTCAAGACAATAATATTGTGCATCAAGGCCACCCTGGGCGCACAAGCTTCTACTTGGTCTGCTCCTTCTAGTGGGAGGAACTCTCACACACAATTCTCCAGGGAGCATGTTGATGACAACATTACAAACGTGTGGGGAGAAAATCAGGTCATAAGCACCAGGCAGGAGGACTTCAGACGTTATGTAGGATCACGCCCAGGATGGATAAAAAAAATCGACATTTTTTTTAAATGGATTTTCAAAAATTTAATCGGATTTTATTTTTATCAAATTTATTTTAATAAAATGCTTTTGGAGTAAAAAAAAAATCTATCTAAAGATAGTTTTCTATTTAAGATACATTAATGTTTTAGTTTATTCAGCATGAAATGGAGCTTAGTTAGGTAGCATGTATATTCTGTAATATTTACATTTTTTTGATAAACTCATTCAATGAATCCAAGCTCTGCAAGCTAAGCATAGGAAACCTTTTTTTTTTTTTGCAAATACTAATATTAAAGATTCTAGCTACCGGCAAGAATGAGTCCTTACATTTAAAGAGCACCTGTCATTTCAGATCCATCCTGGCAGCGCCTGTTAGAGGGCATCCACTCACCTGCTGCCTGCCATGTCCCTAACTTTGTTGGGTCCCTGCCACACCACCAGCTGTCCCATTAAAGGGAATGGGACTGTCTGTGAGTCAACAGCGGGTCAGAGGAGGAGCCGCTGTGGGACAGAGACAACAGTCGCTCTTTAAAATTTATGATTTAAATCGAGCTGATTTAAATCAAATCCACCCTGGTCACCCCAATAAGCCCAGCATCCAACAACCTATAATAGTCAGCCAGATGTTTCAGAGAAGCATACTGGAAAGGTATGAAACTCAATAGTTCTTCCTTGTTTTTTTTATGTTCAATGCAACATATATGCAGTTCTTAAGCATGGAGATTTCCTACAGTTAACATGGTGAGAAATTATAGGCTCCTTATCTACTCTTTGTTAATTTGTCCAATCCTGCTTCCAGCTTTCTTCTACCAGATATGTTATTTGTATCATCTGTGAGCAGAGGGTCTTATTCATTTGGGTAACCTATTATGATAATATGAGCGTTTAAATATATTCTAGAATTACTGCTTCAGCTCTATATACTGTACTCAAGAGATTCAAACATAATGCACAAGATAAATTAAAAGATAGAAGTGATTTGTCAGTGCCCTGTTTAGAGCATAACTTTAAGAAAAGACATTGAAAGAAGAGGCTAAAGACAATTTATATTGATTTTTTAAAAATATAAATAACAAGGAACCTTTTAGAGCAGTGTTTCCCAACCTTGGCAACTCCCAACTTTAAATTGTGTGGACTTCAACTCACAGAATCCCCCTGCCAGCATGCTTAAAGATGCCAAAATTGAGAAATATTGTCCTGGAATATCTGGATGATAGACCATTGCCATGTTGGTTGACATTTACAGACAACTGCATCTGAACTTCTCTTGGGGAAAGATGTCCAGTTCTGAAGCAGAGCATAATATTCATGTTCAGAAAATCTCTCTTTTTGTTCCTTGAACAGCATCTCTAGCAAGGGACATTCAAGATTTGGAAGCTCTTCCCTGTTTGTAATGATAAGTCATAAAAAACCCAAGCAAAAATGTATGCAGATTTGCGTATTGACAAACTAGCTGAAGAGCACCATTTGTAAAAACAGCCAACACACTTGCTCATAGCCAGGATCGAGGTTATAAAGCTGGCCAATTGACACTCCTCATGGAAAGGAGAAATGAAATAATACTTTCCATCACTCCCCGTTGCCTCACTTAAAAATGCTTCCTCTACTACCATGTTTTTCAAACTTGGCAAACATTAAGATGTGCAGACTTCAACTCCCAGAATTCCCCAGCCAGCGTTGGCACACATGTTAAAGTTGCCAAAATTGAGAAGCGTTACTCTATTGCAGTGATGGCGAAGCTTTTCAGCACCGAGTGCCCAAACCGGAACGCGGGAGCATGTGTGTGCATGTGCTGGAGCAACGGAAACCTGAACACCAGCTGGCTAGTGCATGCATGCATGTTTTTGGCTGTTTTTGGGGCCATTTTCAGGCCGGTTTTGGGGTCGGTTTTGGCCATTTTTCGGGCCATTTTCAGGCCATCTTTTGGGCCAAAACAGCCTGAAAATGCCCCCAAAATGGCCGGAAAACAGCCTGGAAAATGCCCAGGAAAACGCCCTGAAAATGACCAAAAACCAGCCTGGTTTTTTGCTGTTTTTTTGGGCCAAAGTGGCCTGGGAAATTGCCTGGGAAACTGCCTGAAAAAGGCCTGAAAACGGCCTCAAAAACAGCCTGGTTTTTGGCTGTTTTTGGCTCTCTGGCACCCGCAAAGACCAGCTGGCCGGTGCGCCAGAAACCAAAAAACCAGCTGGCGATGGCACACGTGCCCACAGAGAAGGTTCTACATGCCATCTCTGGCACGTGTGCCATAGGTTCGCCATCATGACTCTGTTGCAACGGAGTTACCGTTTTCATGGGCAGAGTGTGTAAAGAAATAATCTTTGTGAAAATAAATGAAATCTTAACCTGTTTCAGAGTATGCTTTGTCTAGCATATTGGCATTTATTTTAATGACCACAAAAGAATTCGGAAATATCTCTGGCAATGGCAATTTGCCCACACCTAGTGATGCATGTGGCTCAGGCACACCTGGGTATTGAAAAGGATGGCGAGAGAGAGAGAAGTAGCAGGCTATTGTAGCAGGGCACTGGGGCTGACATAGCTGGAAATTAAGCAGGCAGTGCAGGACACAGTAAAGGAAGCAGAACAATGCTGAAGTCCCAGCCATGAAACACATACATTCTAACTCTCAGGCTGGACCTATACAGATATAAAGGAAAAAATAAGAGTAGAGTAGATTGGAGTGCTTCAGTTTAGAACACAAATGATTGGGAGTGGGAAGATGGTTAATTCTGAAATTTCCTTCTTACTTAAAAACAAGGAAAGCCCAAACCTGTATATAAAAAAATGGGTCAGGTACGAGAAAAATTGTAGCTAGCTTTCTCCTTGACGTGGTTATATATGTGTTTCACACTACAATGGTCATCGGCCATGCTTTGCTGAACCAAATATTGGTCCCTACAATATGTACAGCCTTAAACCATGATTTACAAGCTACAATGGCTCAATATGCTATGTAAAACCAAACCAAGCCAACCACGCTATGCTTTGGTGCACATGTGAACCAAGGCTGTGTGTGTGTTTTTTCCGGTGAGACTGGTCTATCAGGGTAACCTGGTCTACCCAATTATGGGATAGAGCATAGTACTTCCGCTTCCGCCTTTCTGCCCCAATCCAGGAGCCTCCGCAGGCGGCAAACTATTTTTCTGTTATTTATATTTCTGTAATTTATATTTATCTACAAAGAAATAAAGGGAGGCTAGTACAGATCTATTTCAAGCTATTTAGCTCTCATCAGCTAGCCATACCCTTCTGGGATTCAAGGTTAATACTTCTACCTAATATGCTAGGGGTTCGAATCCCAGAAGGGTATGGCTAGCTGATGAGAGCTAAATAGCTTGAAATAGATCTATACTAGTCTCTTTATTTCTTTGTAGATAAATATAAATTCAACACAAGGCTGCGTGCATTTCTGTGTGAGCAATAAGGACACTTTTCTTTTTTCAGTAATAGTAGCTGCGTGCCAAGAACTCATTCCTTCTAACGGGCAAATTCAAAACCAAATTTCACCCTTTTAATGGATGGGAGGTGATGTGTCCAGTTTTGTGAGCGAGATCCTGTTTGCCACCCAGGTGGCTTCCTACGTTTGGGGGAACTAATGTAATGAAGATGTCCTGTTCTCCTTCCCATTATTTGCATGCAATAAGAGCCTCCTCACTTACCCAATACAATGAGTTCAGCATAGGCTTCGTTGTTGCCTTGCAAGTCTTGGGAAGAGGTCACGGTGCAGTAATAAACACCACTGTCCCCCCAAGCGGTTTGCTCAATGCTGAGGTCAGCATCTGCAGGAAGAATGAACAAAAAAGGAACTGTCAAAATGGACACCAAAATCAATTCCTCAAACAGATGCTCATATAAGGAATATTCTTCACATTCTTTTTTTTATTAACATATTTTATTGATTAAATTATTAAAACATTGGACATGGTATGATTGTCCTGACATTCCTTTTTGTCATACATGTTATAATATATAATGCATATTTCATATACAATGTATACATTTATACAATTCGTTTCTATCTGTAATTACCCATTCTACAGATCCTGTTTTTTATTCCGGGTCCTTCCTTTCTTTTCCCACATTGATAAAATTTATTCCATATCTTGTAGTATTCTGTCTCATCCTTATTTTTTAACTACATAGTCAATCTATCCATTTCAGCACATATCAATATCTTCTTTATATTATTTACTATCCATTCGTCGAGAATTTCTCTATCTTTCCATTTTTGGGCAAAAGTTATTCTTCATATTCATTCCCTATACTATCTTTGCTCCAGGTTGCACCACTGCAATACAGAAACCTGAGGATGGTTACAAAGAAAGAAATTATTTATGAACTTCACAACCATCGGCTGAATGTGCCCATGATAATAAAAAAAAAAGAGAGTAGAGAAAGGATGAGGAAGGCCAATCCATTATTATTTACTTATTTTCCTATTATCCAAACCCATTTCTTGTTTGAATCAAGGAATGAATAGAGCTGGCTGAGGAAATGCTTGTGTATTGGTTACGGTTATAGTCTTTCCTTCAAAAGTTCAAGGTAACACCCATGGTGCTCTTTCTTTCTTCTTTCTTTCTTTCTTTCTTTCTTTCTTTCTTTCTTTCTTTCTTTCTTTCTTTCTTTCTTTCTTTCTTTCTTTCTTCCTTCCTTCCTTCCTTCCTTCCTTCCTTCCTTCCTTCCTTCCTTCCTTCCTTCTTTCTTTCTTTCTTTCTTTCTTTCCTTTCTTTCCTTTCTTTCTTTCTTTTTGCCCTCAACCACAACTATGTGAAGTAGGCAGGCTGTGAGAAAGTGAATTGCCCAAAAGTCATTCAGTGAACTTCTGAAGGAGGAACAATACTTGGGTCTCTCATTCCAACTCAACATCTGAATCACTGCATCATTCTGGTTCTATTCCCAGCATAGCGTTAAGAACAGATTCAGGTGACCTGGTTACTCATTCTTCGGTAGCATCCATAAACCAACAGCTAAAATGTGTTATAACTTCATTGTATCCTTGCTGTTGCAAGATATCAGCAAGGCTAGGGGGTTGACCAGGGAATTAGCCAAATTTCCTCCCTTTGGAATCTTTTTCAGCTATTAGTTCATTCCATCCCATTACTACATCACTGTATCTATGTATAACTATCTTGTGGCTCATGAGTAACTTCAAAAAGTATGAGTAACTTCGAAAAGTATGAGTAATGTGCTACTTCACAAAATTGCCTTTTATTATATAGAAAGGTCATTCTCTGGATATCTTTTCTCTTTCTGTACTACAGAACCAAATATCCAGACCTTCCCCCTCCCAAAGAACTGAGATAATCTTCCTAGGGCTGAGAGAACATGACTGCCCAAAGTCACTCAGCTGGCTTTGTGTCCAAAGTGGGATATATAGTAGGTTTGAGCTTGATCCATGAGATCCCTACATTGCTTAAATCTGTATACACAGCTACTCACAATAGGCTTACAAGGCAGAAAAGTATTCCAACCTGAAAGCTGTGTGCCTTACTGGAAGGAGGACAACATGTTGGAAACATTAGATAGCTTTCTTACGCTGCCCAAAGATGTAGAAGAAAAAGGCTTACGAGTTTCATTTGTCTTTGGCTTCAGCCCATCTAAAGCTGTTTCTTTCCCTTAATGTACAGTCTCTACGAAAGGCTACACCTAAAATTTTTGGAAACCACAAACTCTGTCTTCTCCTGTGTGGGAATCAGCGTTCTGACCTAGGCTTCCCAAAAGCACAAAGCTGACTCCTCGTCCCGATAAAACCCCTTTTATTTAGGTTAAAGTGAATTCCTCTCATTCACATTCCAGCAAAGTCCCGGCAGACAGTCTTTCAAGAGATGGCACAACTACAGACCTTTATCAGGCTTGGAGAGCTGCCAGGCCGATATCTTCCAAATGCCACACTGTAGCAGACAATACTTGGCAAGAAGTCAGGAACAGATCTTCACCCTAATGAACTGAACTCATTGTCTCCTGCAAACACCACTCCCCTTTCGCTCCTCTTTATTCCCTATGGGAGGGGCCATTCACCGTTGACCTGTGGCTTTACTCCCAAGTTGACCCTTGTACCTTAGCTGTTCCCTTCTCCTGGCAGCTCTGTGCATGTGCACACTGGGAACAGGCTCCAGCTGTTCTTCTTCCCCACTTATCTCTGACTCCAAGAGCAGATGATAACTGTCAGACGGCCCTGGCCCCATCTCTGCCTCTGACACCTAGAGCACTTGTCAACAGCCTTCCCCAGACTCCAGGACTGGCCCATGTTCCTCCCTAACCTCCTCACTGTCCGAATCTGCAGCCAGCTCTGCTGGCCACTGGTAGGCCACAACAATAAGCCAGTTTACACAAAGAAAAGGGGAGAAAGGTAGCCCTGTTTCCCACTCTGCTGATTCCGTTTTGAACTTACAAGTGATGACTACATGCCACAAAGTAATAGTTATCCCTTACCTATTACATGGGTAGGTTGAATTTATAGATCAATGTCTTCTTTAACTTGAGTATTAGAACAAGATTGTGTTCTGCATTCTGGAAGGATTTAACAACAGCCAAGGGATTAAAATTAAGGAGGATATAATACTGTACTGCAACACAAAAAATCAGAATGTGCCTCTCAAATAAGATTACCTATTCAATGCAGCTTCCAGAATCTGTTTTCATTTCGCCTAATGTTTCAAGCCCATATATAAATACATATAAAAACCACTTTAAAATGTATAAATAGTTGTGCTTAAAGAAGTAACCACTAAGGGGATTTAGATGGAAAAGCGTAATTGTTCTATGACGGTTTCCAACTCACTCCCCTATCTCCTGTATCTCTCACACTGCAGCATCTCATAACGTTCACTTTTTAGCAATTATTACACCAATTTCAGAAAGGGAGAGAAGCAAAAGGCTTCTTCATTGTTTCCAAGAAAACAACACGGACATATTTGCAAAGTCACCAGGAGTTTGAGATTTTTGTTAATCACATGAATTGATTTTTTTAATGGATCTTACCAATTTGCTACTAGAAGAAAACTCAAAATATGTATCAAATTACAATATCAAGAAATGCAGTCCAAATAAGCAAATTATTGTTACGGTCTTTTGGTTTCTAATGTGTTGGTTTTAGAAGCCCTAGATATTGGCCGAAGAGAGTTAGGTTAACATTGAAAATCTCTCGTCTAACTCGAAGGATACAAACTCAAAGGACAGAGCTGCCTTCCTACTTCTGCCCAAATTCTTGTTAAAAATTTACTGTAGGTTTCAGCTACAAGGAGAAATTAATTGGAGAGCACTTCTGGAAGGTTCTCAACTGGCAGAAGAATAATTGTTTGAGAAGAAGGGGGGGGGAGGAAAGCAACATAAAGCATGAAACTGACCAAAAGATTTCTCCAGGCTCCAAATTCCATGTTTACCACTGGTGTGGTGCTACTAACTTCTTATAAAAGGCACCACTTTGTGGAGCTGCTAGTCCTTTCTTCAGAAGTGCTATGTGAAAGCAAGTTGTCCTTCAAGCGAATCTCATTTCTTGCTGACTTTATGAATCGATTTACACCAGCCAGAATCACATCATTTGAGTTTGGTAGCCTTCTAAATCTAGTTAATAAAATAAATATTTAATCTCCTTGGCCACAGAACAGTAGTTCACTTTCTTCCAGGAATTTTCCAAGTTTAAGATCCCTATTTATAATTTTAATGTTTTATGGTATATTTTAATTGTCCGTCTGTAAGCTGCCTAATTGCCTCCAGCGAGATGGTAGCATACGAATGTAATAAATAAATAAATAAAAACCCCAGCTTAGCTGACACGTTGCAGGTTTATTCATTTATTTATTCCATTTTTGTAGCTGCCTATTCTCAAACCAGTTCCTGTCCAACGTACTGATGAAATCTTAACCCTGCTTAGCTTCTTACTCAAGGAAAGATATTTGAATTCTCAATGCCATCACGGGAAGTAAAAGTCCTTAAAGGCACCTATGGATTTCTATATATAAGAAACAAGAAATGTGAAATGACAAGAGTTTTGATTTGTACATTGCAAGCCATATACAGTACTCCTTGACTTACGACCACAATGGAGCACAAAGTTGATGTTGCTAATTGAGAAATTGTTAAAAGTGAGTTTTGCCCCATTTTACCACCTTTCTTGCCACATTTCTTAAGTGAATCACTGCAGTTGTTAAGTTAGTAACACAGTTAAGCAGGAGCAATAGCACTTAGATTTATAAACCACTTCACAGTGCTTTTACAGCCCTCTCTAAGTGGTTTACAGAGTCAGCATGTTGCCCCCAACAATCTGGGTCCTCATTTTACCCACCTCGGAAGGATGGAAGGCTCAGTCAACCTGGAGCCTGGTGGGATTCGATCTGCCAAATTGCAGGCAGCCGGCAGTCAGCAGAAGTAGCCTACAGTACTGCACTCTAACCACTGCACCACCGTGGCTCATAAGTTATTAAGTGAATCTGGCTCTGACTTTGGGGATCACATGACCACAAGACACTACAACCGTCATAAATATGAACCGGCTGTCAAGCATCTGAATGTAAACCACATGACTATGGGGATGCTGCGACGGTCGCAAGTGTGAAAAATGGTCATAAGTCCCTTTTTTCAGTGTCATTATAACTTGGAATGGTCACTAAACAAACCATTGTAAGTTGAGGATGACCTGTATTGTATACAGGGAGAGGATGACACTATTGTATTTGCTCAAGTCACTGGCTCTCCAAGGAGCAAATTTCTTTGGACTTAGAAAACAACAGTGTCCAATGATGCAAGGGGGCATGGGGAGACGAAAATAATTTGGTAGTGT